GGGGTTCAAGGGTGTTGGGGCTCTAGGCTTTTAGGGGTTTAAGGGTTTAAGGGTGTTAAGGGTGTTAAGGTTTAGGGCTTTAGGGCTTTAGGGCTTTAGGGTTTTAGGGTTTTAGGGTCTTAGGGTTTTAGGGTTTTAGGGGTTTAAGGGTTTTAGGGTTTTAGGGTTTTAGGGGTCTAAGGTTTTGGGGTTTTGCGGTTTTAGGGTTTTAGGGTTTTGGGTTTTAGGGTTTTAGGGTTTTAGGGTTTTGGGGTTTTGGGGTTTTAGGGTTTTGGGGTTTTGGGGTGTTAGGGTTTTTGGGTTTTAGGGTTTTAGGGTTTTGGGGTTTTGGGGTGTTAGGGTTTTTGGGTTTAAGGGTTTTAGGGTTTTGGGGTTTTGGGGTTTTAGGGTTTAGGGTTTTAGGGTTTTAGGTTTTAGGGTTTTTGGGTTTTAGGGCTTTTGGGTTACAGGGTTTGAGGTTTAGAGTTCTAAGGGTTTCAGGGTTTTAGGGGTTTGAGGGTTTAGAGGGGGCTGGGGTGGGGGAGCTGAGACATCTGCCTAGGCCCTCAAGCGTAGCTCTTTGTTTTTTTTTTGGGGGGAACCGAGTTTTCCATTGACATCGATAACATCTTGGCCACAACAACAAGGGGTTTCAGGCTTTTTAGGGTATAGAATTATTGGGAAGAAGGGCTCTAGGGTTGGGTTTAGGGTTCTAGAACTATAGGGAAGTAGGGATATAGGGTAGGGTTATGGAGTTTAGGGTGTAGAATCATACTGGCCAAAAAAATGCACCGCAAAGTAGGAACTGTACGACAGGGCGGCATCCTAAACGCTGAAGATCTAAACTTCAGCCCCTGGAAAGATCCTGAGATCCTAGACCCTCAACCCTAAGCCCTAAACCCTAAACCCTAAGCTTGAATTCGAAGCAAAAGACTTTTAGCTTTGGGTTTGGGGATTAGCGTTTAGGGTTTCAGGGGTTCATGAAACTCCGAACAAGGACCTTCAACATAGATTGAGGGCACACTCCTGAATTGACGGGTTGAGGGGTCTCGGGTCAAGCTCTGCTTAGGGATTAGGTCTTTGCGGGGGATTCGGGTTTAGGGGCTCACGGCTGAGAGATTCCGATAAGGCTGTGAGAATTCGAAGACCGCGTCCTGCGGTTTGGGCGCAGGATTCTGCAGTGAGAAATGGCATGGAATAACCTTAAACCCTAAATTCTAACCGGAAAAAAAAACCTGAAGCCCCAAAATAAACCCTTGTACGCTTAAACCCCTATACCCTGAAGCCCCGCCTCTGAAAAAAAAAAAAAAAAACAAGCTCCCAAACTCCCAAATGCCCCCCCCCCCCCCTCCCCCCCCCCCCCTGACGATATCCGCTATTCAGGTATATGGGCCCTAGACTCATGTTAGGGCTCACGTGGTCCCACAGGCTATGGGGATTAGGGTACGGACAACTTAAAACAACTCGTCATGGCTTGCGGCTTACGGTTCACGACTTCATATACTACCTGTGATTGAAGAGCCTACTCTACTAATTGCTGAAAGAAACCCCCAAAAAAGAGTCTTCCTTGTCACGGCAATATAGGGATTCTCATTACCTGTTTTCTTTTTTTTTTGGGGGGGGGGGTTTCTTAAGCAAATAGTAGTACTCTGGGTGCAGCCACGAATACGAAGCAGCGAGGCGACGAAGAAGGAACGATTCACCAAGCCGTTCGTGCCTCACGCGCTGGAAGGAGTCTAGCCCCTGGGGTTTAGGGTTTTGGGGTTTAGGGTTTAAAAGGGTTTATAGGGTTTAGGGTTAAGGGGTTAGGGTTTAAAGGGTTTAGGGTTGAGGGTTTATAGGGTTTAGGGTTCCAAATCCTAAACCCAGAATTAGGCCCTATAAGCCCTAATTCCCTTCGACTTAATCTCAGGGAAGCAAGCGAAGCCCAAGAAACTCCAAACCTTTATCGCCTGGTGCATGAGCCCGGTACATGGTGTCTAAAAAGCAATACTTATGAGCCCTTTGGTACCTAAGGCAAGAAGGAATCTACTAGAACAGAGACCCCAATAGGGACCATAGCGCTGAACGACCTTCCCCCCGTATATCAATGGGAATATACTCTCAGATGTGGAGGGCTGGCTCTTCACACGTAGGCAAGAAACTTAACCCTAGGCCTTTTCCCTGCCGCACAACCCAGTGTTGCAGAAACAGGAAAGCGCTTGTCTCCGATATTTGTGCTACGTGGGTTGCGTGGGCCTACGGAGGATTGCTCCTAGCGGGGTTTGGATTTTGGGATCTCGGGATTAGTGATTAGTTCTAGGCTTAACTTACGAGGGTTTGTCAGTCATTCAGGCCCTTTTCGTCGCAACCGCAACCCAGAAGCATTCCCCGAACGCTGCAACAGAACCGGAGTACAGAAACCCTACACCCTAAACCCTCCCGAAACCCAAAGCCCTGCCTGGAAGGAAGAAATGATCGGTCCTGCAAAGGGCATACAGAGGGTTTAGAGTTCAGGGGTTTAGGCTTACCGGTATTCGCAGCCTGTATCTCTGGCCGATCGAGCAAAGAGCCTCATTCCCTCGTGAACGGAGGATGCAAAGATCCCGATGCCTCTAAACCAGGGAACATAAATACCTGAAACCGCACAAGGGATCCTAGTACGAATACAGGTACATTGTCCCAAGAAGAGGGCTCCTGAAGACTAGGACAAGGCGGGACTTGTATGATTGGAGTTTGGGGTTGTCCTGCACAGCCGCTGGGGCACAATGGGCAGCGCACTCGGGCAGACTTCCACCACCCAGAGGCCTCTAAGTGGCGAAAAGGCGAGTTTGCTGAGGGTAGCGTTCAGAGCTTCTGGTTCAGGAGCCCTCGAAAGTCCAAGTATGTGCCATGGACCCTTTTGGGTGTTGATCAATTAACCCCTAAACCCTAAACCCTAAAACCTAAACCCTAAACCCTGGCTCTTCAAAGCCTCAACCTTTGCAGCCTGGGTTCAGGGTGGAGGTTTTAGGGTCTCAAGTAACCTCTATACCCCCAAAAGCAGAGAAAACACAAGAACACATGAGGCACCAATCTCCTGCTTTAAGGGTAGGTATGCTGCTCAGGAAGGTACCTATCCCTTTGTTTATGGGCATATATATATATATATATGTTGCTCTAGATAGACTGAAAGGAAGTACAACCATCTAGTCGTATGTTCTGTATGTTGTTGGATGGCTATATTCACGATCGAGGGATTAAACAAAATTATCTTTTTGCGGCTTCAAGGGGCTCTTTCATCAGGGAGCATAACCCCACCCAACCCCCCACCTATAAATCCGCTGAACCCTAAACCCCAAGCCCCCCGCCAACCACTTCCTTAGGATCAACCCTGAAGCCTAACACCCAAACCCGAAACCCTACGAGTATCTCCTAAACCCTAAACCCTAAACCCTAAACCCTAAACCCTAAACCCTGAGCCCCAAACCTATATCATAAAACCAAACCGTAAACCCATGGTCCCTGAACTAGAGGCCTCCCCAATTGCGAAACCCGTGGAACTAAAGTAGGGGCACTTGTAAAGGACAGGGCGTAGGGTCTAGGGTTTAGGGTTTAGGGTTGTTTAGGGTTTGGGGTTTGGGGTTTGGGGTTTGGGGTTTAGGGTTTCGGGTTTAGGGTTTGGGGTTTGGGTTTGTTTTTGGGGTTTGGTGTTTAGGATTTAGAGTTTATGGTTTCAGGGGTTCTCTAGGGAGATCTTTGTACATGGGGTTTAGGGCGATAGATATATATATATATGTATGTATACACATATATATACATGCCCGCAACCTGTAGGGCTTGTTTTGTCTTGAGCTTTTCTTGACTTCTCGAAAGACCTAGTATAGATATTAGAATATATAAGCAAGTACATATTTCTTTGTGCGTGGCTGGCACTTTCAAGCTTCGGCCAGCTTCGTTTTTATGTTTAGGATTTGTGACGTGACATATTATGTCCTTCCTTACTGATTTTCTGGATTTCTGTTCGGCCATATGTGTCACGAGCCACAGATGTCTTTACATCAAGAGATTCTATAAATAAGTGGGCTTGGTCCTTGGAACACTCATCGGCTTCACATGTGTTTCCTTATTGATTTTTTAATGATTTTCTGCTCATTCATAGGTGGCACGAGCCACAGAATTCTCTACACCAAGAGGCTGTATAAATAAATTGAGTTGCTTCTGGTAACACTCATTGATTTAATATGTGTTTCGTTACTGTTTTAGTTGTTGGCTACTCATTCATACGTGGCACGAGCCACAGAATTCTCTACACCATAAGCGTGTATTAAATATACGTTGTTCCCGCAACGCTTGTTGGTTTCATATATGGCTGCTCAATGTTTTTGCGGTCTTCTCACTACTACTTCCACATGGCGTGAGCGACATTTTGTTTTTACACCATGAGCCTGTAACAATGAATTTACTTAATCCCTGCAACGCTTGTTAGTTTCATTATGTGGTTGGCTAGTTGGTGATTTGGACTACTTCTATTTTTATTACTGTGCAACGCGTTTTGTATAATTTGCTGTACGAACAACAACAAAACGAACATAGTTTCTTTCGTCAACTTCAATGTATGTTGTTATTGCCTCGCCGTTATTGTTTGTGTTGATGTATTGGTGGCTTTGTGCTGTTTTATTCAACAGTTCTTGCATTGTTGCCTGTATGAGCAAAAACAATCAATCAAGCCAAGTGTTTGTCAAACATCTCCTCCTCGCCCTGGTCCTCTTCGTTCGGGGGGGGGGGGGGGGAGTCTTGCAACGTTCGCCTTAGGCGGATGTGCCAGGGAGCTCTTGGCATTTGCCTTCGCAAGAGACACCAAGGGCTTCTAGGGTGTGGGGGAGGGTCTTGGCCTTTGCTTGGGCGGGGTTTTGGCCTGTGCCTTCGCAACAGGCGCAGAAACTGCGGCGTCCATGGGTGCTTCGCCTGCGGAGGAACTGCTGCTGGACTGCTCAGATGACGAAGCGTCAAAGTCGCTCAACGAAGAAAGCTCCGCATCGCTGATGTCTTGAAAACCAGCATCATGCAGCTACCTTGGCCCTTGCTGCTTCGGCCTTGGGCTTCGCCTTTGTGAATCGCTTAAGCCAGCGCTGCCAGACCGTCCGCATCTCCGCCTTGATGGCCCTGGCGTTTGCCTTAGCTCTCTCGCGTCAGTGGACGAGAGCATCGCGGCAGGCCCTCGCCATTCTTTGCTGGAGGCGGCTAAGTCTACAATTCCAAACAGCTTGAGTGTAATTGCGTGTGTTTCGCGAAAAAGTCACATCACGATTATAGTCGATGTGATACTGCAAGCTTATGTCCCAGCGAATGTGTGCTTGAAAATCATCTGCCTCCTGCAAGTTGAGCGCATGTTGTTCGCAGAGTACCGCGAGTACCTTCCTGCTTTCGAAAAGAATTTTTATAATCAAGTGAGGGGCCCAGTGCTGGCGATGTGTTGTTTAAGAAGACACTCGAAGAAAGAACTTAAGGGACACAGGACCCCTAAACCCTGAACCCTAAACCCTAAACCCTAAACCCTAAACCCTGTGGAGAAAAGCGGCGCTTAGATCGAGGCAAGTTTTGTCCGGGAGGTTTTTGGGGCCAAAACTTGGTACTCTTGAACCGCCCTGCTTCCTTAAAAAGAAACACGGCGGTTCAACAGTACTAAATTATCTGAGAGGCTGTCTCAGAAAATTTCAAGCGTTAAAATCCGACAATTTTTTTCGGATTAAATAACTTAAACTATTCAAATACCTGGTGGTCTCGAGGTTTCACCCTGTTTGAACTGATTTAAAGAACTCAAACGATCCAAATACTTTGAATGATTCTCAAATCCCCGATTGGAATTGTTTAAAATATCTAAACTGTTGTTCGAGGCCGTGGGATTTCAATAATCTAACTTGTCAATCAGGCCAGTCGGGTTCGCAGATTTAAAGCGTTTACATTATGTTCATACTTTTTGTGTACAGCCAAGGAAACAGAGATCCATATAGACCCGACAGGTTTCTCTCTCTCTCTCACATATAATATAATATACATACATACATACATACATACATACATACATACATACATACACACATACATTTTTCCCGGGGTGGGGGTGGCTTGTTTATAGGGTTCCGGGCTCAGGCTAGATGACTCGGGCAAGGCTTCCCGAAACCCAAGCTCGTAGTTATAAGCAATGCCGGCACGGTGACTTTCATGGTGGCTGCCCTGCGAACGCCGGAACAAATCCTCAGGAGGTTCGTCGCTTGAGAGGTTTAGGGGGTTTAGGGTCTAGGGCTTAGGGTTTCGGGGGTCTAGGCTAGGGTTCAGGGCACGGTTGGTTTTCAATTTACCATGGCAGGGGCTCAGGCTTCATCATTTTGTACAGTAGGGCTTAGGTTCCCGAACCCTAAACCCTAAACCCTAAACCCTAAACCCTAAACCCTAAACCCTAAACCCTAAACCCTAAACCCTAAACCCTAAAGGGCTTAGGTTCAGGAGCTTCCATGGTATGGCCCTACAGCCCGCGCGACCTGAAAGTCTTGGGACCCTGCTGTAGTTACCTAAAGCGTTATGGGCTCTACTGCACCCTCAACCCTCTGAACCCTATAGTGTTAGGGGTGTTAGGAGTTTAAGGGCTTAGACTTTAGGGTTTTAGGGGTTTAGGGTTTAGGGGTTTGGGGAGTTTAGGGTTTCTATGCCCTAAATGCTACGCATACCGAACTGGACACGCTCGTTGCGGAGTCCACTAAACCCGAACCCCTAAACCCTGAACCCTCGACCCTAAACCCGAAACCTTAACCGAAGGCTGCTTCTGCAGTGGAAGGAAGTGTCCGTGAACTTGAGAATGCTGCCGCCTCCTTCCACAAAAGCAACCTGCAAAACCAGCAACACCTACTGGCTGCTTCCAGACCCCCCCCCCCCTCCAGAACAAAAACTTCCCTACAAGGGCAATACAGGGATTAATAACTTGTATCTTTGAGGGGTGTTCAAGCAAATAGTAGAAACTTGAGATTTCATGGGATGTCCTACTGCGGACGACATTCTCACCTTGATACCTTGTTTCCGGTGGTGCGTCTGATTCCTGAACACATCCCAGAAACCTGAAGGAAGCTACATGCAACCCTAAATCCTAAACCCCTAAACCCCTAAACCCCTAAACCCCTAAACCCCTAAACCCCTAAACCCCTAAACCCCTAAACCCCTAAACCCCTAAACCCCTAAACGCCTAAACCCCTAAACCCCTAAACCCCTAAACCCCTAAACCCCTAAACCCCTAAACCCCTAAACCCCTAAACCCCTAAACCCCTAAACCCTAAACCCTAACCCCTAAACCCTAAACCCTAAACCCTAAACCTACTTCCTTCACCAGGCCGCGTCCAACAAAGAGGCGATGCCACTCTCGTTGCTGGCCGCTGAGCTGACCTCGGAGTCGGGCGTAGAGATGGTAGGGTTTAGGGTTTAGGGTTTAGGGTTTAGGGTTCAGGGTTTAGGGCTTAGGGCTTAAGGCTTCGGGTTTAGGGTAGATACTTTCTTGTGCTACGCATCTGAGTTTCTACTCAATGTCTACGAAAAGATCACAACCCCCTACGCCCCCCTCTGACCCCAAAAACCAGAAGGCCTACATGGGGGCAGTACACCAAAAGGGGCTTCTGGCTCGGTCTGGACCTTCGCAGCAGCCTCCGGAGCGCTATGCACCCTTAAATGCATGAACCCTAAACCCTAAACCCTAAACCCTAAACCCTAAACCCTAAACCCTAAACCCCAACCTTGTTGAGGCCTTGCAGAGCCCCTAACGCCTAAACAGGGAATCATTACACGGCACTCTATGGTCCTCAAGGATGTCTAAGGCAATCTGAAGGCTTAGGGCTTTAGGGTTCAGGGTTTTTGTCGTTGAGCACTCCCCTAATCCACCCCAAAAAATAGTGAAAACCTTCTTTTGGGGAACCCCCCCCCCCCCCCCTAGACCCTAAACCCTAAACCCTAAATCCTAAACCCTAAACCCTAAACCCCAAAAAGGGCACCCGGAACACCCGGTATGTGGGATGGTTTGTATTTGTTGTGCGCGGCTGCCCTGGGTGGGGCTTAGCTGGGTGGGGTTTAGGAGATCGTGCACTGTGTGGTTTCACTACTTGGAGGAGGGTTTAGGGTTTAGGGTTTAGGGTTTAGGGTTTAGGGTTTAGGGTTTAGGGTTTAGGGTTTAGGGCTGCTTGGAGGTTCATGGTACTTATTAACCCACTACAACAGCACTTATATGTACTTATAGCCATATTAGGGCACTTGAGGGCTTCATAAGTGGGTTATAAGTAGAGTTATAGTTGGTTAATAAGTACCACGAGCCTCCAAGTAGGGTTCCGGTGCAGGTCAACTGCTCGGCTTTGCTCTGCTCCTCTGCCGCCTTGAGCTTCTCGAGGGTGGCCTCCCATCCGCGAACATCATCGGTCCAGCTGCAATCTGGCAAAAGATCAACATCTGCATCTCGCAGCTTGTTCCACGTCGCCACAATCTTGTCCGCGAGCCCACATGCTTGCTCCAGATCCCTCTTGGTGACGCGGAGGGACAACACTTTCTGCCAGAGCGTCCTCAACTGCACCCAACCATTTCACTTGTGTTTCGTGACCCGTGAAATTAAAACCAGCCAAATGCCCAGTGCCCTACCCATAATGTGAAACCTGAGATTAGATTTATAAACCCCCCCTCAATTAAGATCCCCGAGGCCCGGAACTCAACAATAACCCCCCACCCCCCCTCTCAATCAAGATCCCCCCCCCCCTAGAGAGCCCAGGCCAAAAACTCAATCAATGGATAGGGGTGGGGATTTATAAGAGGTGGACATGAGTCCTCCACTGAGCATGACTTGACATTGCCATCTTCACCTTCTGGCTGAACGCCTCGCAGCTCGCGACCTTTGCGTAGTAGGTGCCACCCACGTTGCCCTTGACCATCTCCAAGCAGGCAATCAAGCGCTGCATGTCCTTCATGATTTGCGACATGTACCCACTGGAGTTCGCGTAGGAGCCCAGGCCACGTGCTTCGAAGTCTTCGGCCGACGGGAGCCTTCTTGCAGAGTTTGGGCGGATGGGTTCACAATAGGACAGAACTACTTCTAGACACCGCAACGACCAAAGAAAAGTCGTCCACCTGATGACACCGCTGCATTGCGCCAAGGCCGGCAAAGGACTCAGAATCATGGCGCACGTCATCGCTCACCCCTAAAACCCGAAGCACCAAAATCCTAAACTCGAAACCCTAAACCCTAAACCCAAACCCCTAAACCCTAAACCCTAAACCCTAAACCCTAAACCCTAAACAAAAGAAGATGCCCAGCCCTAAATCCCCAAAGGACCTCGGCCCTCCCCTTGAGGGCGCCACATGGCTGCCTGAAGGAGTGACCTGGGGCAGGGCCCCCAAGACACACCAAAAACATGGATTTAGGGTTTAGGGTTTAGGGTTTAGGGTTTAGGGTTTGGGGTGTAGGGTTTAGGGTTTAGGGTTTGGGGTTTGGGGTTTGGGGTTTAGGGTTTAGGGTTAGTTTAGGGTTTAGGGTTTAGGGTTTAGGGTTTAGGGTTTAGGGTTCAGGGTTCAGGGTTTAGGGTTTAAGGTTTGGGGTTTAGGATTTAGGGTTTAGGGTTTGCGGTTTAGGGTTAGGGTTTGAGGTTTAGGTTTCACGGTTCAGGCCTCAGGCGGGTTTAGAGCCCCGAAACACATGAATAGCCTGTCAAGGTGGGCGGCCTTTCAAAAAACCAGCACCCTAAGCCCGGGCCAGCTACTTGACTGCACTCAGACGGGTAGCTATAAATTATATCTTTAGCTGCCCAAGAAACCCAAAAAAGCTAAAGATCCAAAGCTACAGTAAAGCACAAAAGAGGCTACACCCGTCTTTTGCAAGCATGGACTTGAATGACATGTCGGCAGCTAGCCCGAAAGCAGAGACCCTCTAAACCCTAAACCCTAAACCCTAAACCCTAAACCCTAAACCCTAAACCCTAAACCCTAAATGCCCTAAACCCTAAACTCCACACGTCGGGTTGGTGGTCTGAGTGAAAATAGATTTCAAGCCACAGTCCACAGTTAAATTTCTTGGCATGATCATGTAGGGGTCATTTTTCCTACTCTGGTGTAGACCCCGAAAAAAACACATACTTTTCAGGTAAAAGTAGCTATAATGGGAACCCAGAAGCAAAAAACAAGCATTAAGGAATAGTACTCCAGAACCCTGGGTGAGATCGCGAAACTGATGGTGGCACATTTTCTGAATGCGGGTTGAGGCCTTAGCCCATCTACAATACGCATTTTGTTAAAGTACTCAACACAAGGGCCATGATCAAGTTATAAACGTACCCCCCCCCTAGGACCCATGAACCCCATAAACCCTACAAACCCTATAAACCCGAGAAACCCTGTAACCCCACAAACCCTACACACCCTCCGATTAACCCAACAAACCCTATAAACCCAAGAAACCCAACAAACCCAATACACCCCAAACCCAAAAGCCCAACCCTTCAGGAAAACACGGTAAGGGCCTCACCCTAAACCCTAAACCCTAAACCCTAAACCCTAAACCCTAAACCCTAAACCCTAAACCCTTGAGGGCCTCAGGGTCCACAGGGTCTTGAGTCTTGAGGGCTTTGGGTTTTGGAGGTCAAAGGTTTAGGGGTTTTGGGTCCAGGGCTTAGGGTCTTCGGGCTTGGGGTTCACAGTTGAGGGTTTAGGGTTAGGGTTTAGGGTTTAGGGTTTAGGGTTTAGGGTTTAGGGTTTAGGGTTTAGGGTTTAGGGCTTAGGGTTTAGGGTTTAGGGTTTAGGGTTTAGGGTCTAGGGGTTCATGACATGGCTCATGCTGAAATTTTTGGGGTAGACAAACACTTGCTTGGCAGAACTCTGAACACCAGACTGAAGCCTAAGCGCATGAGTTTAGGATTCAGGGTTGTTAATTAGGGTTTAGGGTTTAAGTTGGGGTTTTAGGGTTTAAGGCTAGGGTTTACAATTCGGGTTTAGGGTTTGAGGTATTAGGGCGAAGACTCTAAAATCCTAGGGTGGAATCCCGAAAACAAGTGCAGAAAAAGGGCGTGTGCATTGCGCACTGTCTTGGTGAAGACCTGAGCGACATTTGTCAGGTTACCTCACTCACCAGCGGAAGCGTTGTTCTTAACTACCAAACCCTAAACCCTAAACCCTAAACCCTAAACCCTAAACCCTAAACCCTAAACGACAAGCCACAGCCCGCAGCCCCGGAATTTGCTTTCGTAACGCAATGATTAGGCATGCGAAGATGCAGAGTACGGAGTGTTTAGGGTTTAGGGTTTAGGGTTTAGGGGGTTTGCCTTCGACTTCTGTTTTTGCACACCGTGCTTTCTCCGGCGCATCCTTGTACTCAAGAATCCGGGGCAATGACCCCAATCCTGTCACAAAAGCCCCACCCCCAACCCTAAACCTAAACTACTAATTGCTTAAAAACCCCCAAAACCAAAAACAACCGCACTATAGGGATCATTTGTTTTCTTCTTTTGGGGGTTGTTAAGCACAATAGCAGTAAACCCAATAAACCCTACAGACCCTGTTCTTGCCGGAGCGGTTCGGGTGCAACCCCTCGTCCTACTCCCCAAACCGCGTTGAGGGTTTGGGGTTTAGGGTTTGGGGTTTAGAGTTTGGGGTTTGGGGTTTGTGGCTTGGGGCTTAGGGCTTAGGGAAATACATTTCCCCGGGTTGATAACGAGGATTGTATAGCAATTGGAGTACTGTCCAAAACTTAACTTCAGCAAGCCTTACTTGAAGACATAAAGCCACAAAACCCAAAACCCAACACCCAAAACCCTAAGCCCTAATCCCTAAACCCTAGAGCCCTAAATCGAAAACCCCAGAACCCTAAACACTGATCTCCGAATCGCTCGACCCCCTAAACCCTAAAGCACCCGTAAGCCCCAAACCGCGACACACAAAACAACCTCCCTAAACCCTCTAACTTCTTCAACACAATAACTTAAAACCCTGAACTTAGTTACACCCGAAACCCCCTGAACCCCTGAATTCAGCCCTAATACTAAAGACCCTGAGTTTTACACCCTAACCGGACAAACTGTCGGACCGATCGCTCACACTCGGTCACAGGCTAACGCAGTCACTGGCGACCGGCAGTTATCGTCACGCTGCCCTCTTGGCTTTACGGTGTGCTTTCAAGACGGGCAGCCTTTCCTGGATCCGTTTCTGGGAACGTAGTTGATGGTTTGCGGGGCGCCGCTGGCTGAACTTCAGAAGCTGCCCTGCAATCCCACCTGAGCCTCTGCCTCTGACGGCTTGAGGACTTGGAAAGCAGCCTGCTTCCAAACGTAGGCTGCGTGGCTCCACTGGGCTTTATATTGCTTAGAAGACAATTGCTCTGAATGTGCATATTCAAAGTAAGACCACCAACCACAACCCTAAGTTCCAAAACCCTAAGCCCTAAACTCCTAAACACCCCTAGATCCGCTCAACCCTTTCGTTAGGCCCAGCCACGTCCATGTCTTCTTGAGAGCTTGAGCTTCCCAAGGACTTCCAGCCTGCTATGGCTTCTTGGGTTTGGGTTTAAGGTTTAGGGTTGTTGGGTTCGGTTCGGGCGGGGGGGTTTGTTGGGGGGGGGGAGCGGGGGTGGGGCGAGGGGCAGGGGGTGGGGGCTAATGGGCAGCGGGGGCAGGCGAGGGGGGGGGGGGGGGGGTAGGGTTCCGTGCTGCATTTGCCCACCTCAAGCCCCAAACCCTAAACTCTAAGGCCTAAGGCCCAAACCCTAAACCCTAAGGCCCAAACCGTAAATCTTACGTATCTCCCCAGTCATGGCTGCCCATGCCTTGGCCCACCAAAGTAACTTTGGGGGGGCTGGCCCTGAACCCGAAACCCGAAGGCGAAAGAGGTTTAGGGTTTAAAGGGTTGAGGTTTAGGGCTGAGGTCCTTAGGTCTTACGGTTCAGGGTTTGCATGTGGCGCAGAGGATTTGAGGGAACTTGTGGGCTTCCATAGTTGCAGTGCTGGATTAGGTAAGCCCACCATCCACCCCGGTCCTCCCATGGGCCACCATTACTAAACTTAGCAGGGGTGGTGCAGGTGCTGCAAAGCGCAAGGGGTTCTCTCAAGACGAGAACTGGCGGGATAGGAAAATAAAACCCCATGTATACTTTTGCCGAGATCCTAAACACCGGTGAGTTGAGGGCATGGGGGGTTCCAAATACTACACACACCCTTCCTAAACCCTCAACCTTAGACCCGGGGAGAAGAGGCTACCAGACGGCCTTCCATGGCGTAGACCTGCAACTTGTCGGATTGGGACGGTCAGTAGCTGGGGGGTCATTCCAAAATAGGGCTTAGGGTCTTCTGGGTACTTGCACATGATGCGGCATCCTGCAATAAACGTGTACCAACAACGGCATTTACACTGAAAACAGCCCCCAGCATCTCTTTGAACGGGGAAGCAGGCCCTGATAGAATTTCTAGTTGCGAGCGCGATCTTCTTGCTCTCTATCTATCGACCAGTCCAGTTGGGGGCTGCTGGCACGGGCACAAAGTTTAGTAGTTGTGCAGCCACTCCATATACCAACATGTGGTGGTTTCCGAAATTCGGGGTACCTGATTGGGGTTTGGGGTTTGGGAATCCCACTATTTGGGGGTCTATTTTGGGGGTTCCTGTTTTCGTAAACCTGCATGTATACACAAGGTTTGAGGGTCTGGCGTTGACTGCGTGTGAGAGTGCGCGCTTCGCTCTTCTAAGACTTCTCTTTAACGAGGAAAACAGACCCTGATCAGTGGGAGTACTTATCCCTAAGCCCTGAACCCCAATAAGGTACTCTAGGTAGGGCGAAGTTCGGGCACATGAGCCCATCGTTCTCCCCGCCTCAGAACTCCAGGGTTTAAGGCGAAGGGTTTAGGATTCATTTAGGGTAGGTTATATATGGCCCCCTGGTTGAAAGCTGCTTGACACCGGCCCCTGATTAGCCGATAAGTTCCAGTTAGAAAGTCCCCAAGCTGAAGGGTAAAACCTTAGGACCTTCGGGGGTCTTCGAGTGTTACCCGTCATGAAACCCTCATGAACCCTAAACTCTAAACTCTAAACCCTAAACCCTAAACCCTAAACCCTGAACCCTAAACCCTAAACCCTAAACCCCTAAACCCGCACCCCCACAGCGAAGCCTGTCGCAGCAGCTCCTCACCACGGGAACCCAGCTTCGGGATCTCCGTGTCTTCGATCGCCTTTCGGGGCACTCAACTGGGTTGTTGTTTAGGGTTTAGGGTTTAGGTTTAGGGTTTAGGGTTTAGGGTTTAGGGTTTAGGGTTTAGGGTTTCGGGTTTAGCGTGAACATGGATTCTCCCCAGGTCTAACTGGAATGGATTGGGGGGGGGGGGGGGTGTGCGAAAGTAAGCTTCCATTGGATGTGTAGGACATATGCCGGGATTATCACCCAGAGAAACCCTAAACCCTAAACCCTAAACCCTAAAAACATGCTGTTTCTCAATCAGCTCCAGGCTGCTGCTGTCCCTTCGCATGGCGCGTGTTCCCACCTTGAACCTCTACCACGAAAGGGGTTTAGGGTTTAGGGTTTAGGGTTTAGGGTTTAGGGTTTAGGGCCGCGGGCCTCCATGATACACAAGTAGAGATGGCGTAGCTGAAAGGACGTGAACAGCCAATCTGTGCCTTGTGTCCTCAAGCCCTACCGGCTTGAGACTTTGTTTACCTCGTTCTGTGGCTTTACTGTTGTTTCCTTTTTATGCCTTTCAAGAAGGGAACTCTGCCATAATCAAGTATTGGGTCTATATGTACGTGTATATACACATATGATATAAACAAATCAACAAAAAGTAAACATATCAATATGTATATATGTATATACATATACATACATATACATATACATACGCATACATACATACATACATACATACATACATACATACATACGTATATCAATGTTGTTTGCTGGCAAGGTTGGTTGCTTTGGGCAAAGAAGGGACAAATACCTCAATTGCAGAGGACTGTTCGTTAAGGGTATATGGGTTTGTCTGGTCTAAAGAGTTTCAAACCTGGATCTCGCGTTGCAGGCCCCGAAACGGCCCGAAACTGCCCCACACAACTCCCCACCCCCCACCCCAAAAGGTCGCTTCTAAGGGGCCCCTTCTTTGTCCCTTAGCTAGTTCATGGTTGGGATAATATTAAGCATGTGTTTTTGTTATTCCGTATTGGGCTTAAGTACCCTTCAAAATGTAAAATGTTACCCAACTATGACCAATGTATTAGAGTAGGCAGGGCACCACCATCTCTGGATCTTCGCCTCAGTGCTGAATAAGCAATAAGCTGAAGCGATTTCGCAGCAGCTATGGGCCTCCCAAAGCCGTAAACCCTACGAAGCCCTGGGCCCTGACACAAACCACCTCTCTTGAAGCCTCGAGCTCACGACTTCCAAGCTCCAAAAGCTTCTTCTTCTAAGTTTTAGAGTAACGAAGAATACTAATTCGACCGTTGCGTTGAAAGGGAATGGAAATTAACCGTGCCTCTTGCATATCAACTGCCCCTGCACCCCCCACCATGCAAAAACCAAATCCACATCAATCCCGTGCGGCGACACAAGCTGACGCCGAGCACATAGAGTCCACAAGACGCAGCCCCTCACCCCAAGTTTCCGTGGCCTTGAAGGACGCCACCCTAGACCCTAAACCCTAAACCCTAAACCCTAAACCCTAAACCCTAGACCCTAAACCCTAAACCCTAAACCCTAAGCCCTAAACCCTAAACCCTAAACCCTAAACCCTTCGCCGAGCTTCGCTTCTCCGAGCTCTTCACTTTGGCGGCTTCGGTGGCGTCCGCGGACTCCACGAAAGAGAGGAGGCCCTGGCACACTCCAAAGTTTGTTGTTTAGGGTTGGGGTTCAGGGTTTGGGGTTTAGGGCTAGGGTTTTTTTGAATTTAGGGTTTAGGTTTGGGGGTTAGGGGGGTTTGGGGTTTGGAGTTTGGGGTTTCGGGTGGTGGGTTTGGGGTTTGGGGTGTGCGGTTTAGGGTGGTGGGTTTGGGGTTTGGGTGGTGGGCTTGGGGTTTGTCTGCATGTATAATACCGTGGCAGTCTAACAGCAAAATGGTCTCATATTGTGGCCAGGGTGCCATGGTCAGCGAAGGCGCCCCGAGCATGCGGCACATGAGCCACACAGTTGACCATAAACCCTAAACCCTAAACCCTAAACCCTAAACCTAAACCCTAAACCCCTTCGTAGCACCGCTACGCTGAGCACGCGTCGGTTTGCAACCAGGAACCGAGGTAGCAGCGGTTGCACTCTTTCATCGGTACATATGGGGGGGGGGGGGGGTTTGGGGTTTAGGGTTTAGGGTTTAGGGCTTAGGGTCTGGGATTTATATCGTCCCCTGTTTGTATAAAGGCATTACGACTACTCAAGGAAGCAGGAACTGTGGATTTAAGGATATGACACCACATACAAAGTAATTGCTCTGGAAGACTCATGTGCAAGCCCTAGACCCCAATTCCCAACAAAATGAACCCCAACCCCCGAAAAAAATGAACTTAAGAACTCTGAGCCCTGCGTGGCTTAAGCGAAAGAGGTTCGCGCCAAACAAAGTTAAGCCCTAGATCCTCACCCCTTAGAACCTGAACCCTAAACCCTAAAACCCCAAGACCAAACAACACACACACACACACAAGCCTAAACCCTAAACCCTAAACCCTAAACCCTAAACCCTAAACCCTAAACCCTAAACCCTAAACCCTAAACCCTACACCCTAAACCCTAAACCCTAAAAGCACACTCGAGCAGGAACCCTGTGGCTCCTCCAGGTACTTCTTCGCCTGCTGCTGCAGCTCGACCGCGACGGAGCGATCCTGAGAACCGGAGCCCCAAGCGGGTCTCGGGCACAGTGTGGGTTTAGGGTTTAGGGTTTAGGGTGTAGGGTTTAGGGTTTAGGGTTTAGGGTTTAGGGTTTAGGGTTTAGGGTTTAGGGTTTAGGGTCTAGGGTTTATCGGGTTTAGGGTACGGAGTGTGGGGGGGGGTACCTGCTTTGGTGACGTGATCCTGGATGGGCTTTCCAGCGTGATGCGGCCTGAGAAGCCTGGAATGGACGCTTCTCCACGCGAGGCGCCGTCGCTCGAGTCAGTATCCAACTCCTCCTCCTCCTCCTCCTGCTGCTCCGCGGCCGCGCAAGTCTCAGTGCGTTCTCGTATGCCTCCTTGCATCGCTTGGCGTGCTGAAGCATTGTCAGCCGCTTCTTCAAGCGAGCCTTGGTTAGTGAAGATGAGAACAGGCTTCTCGGCAGGGCTGGTCGCCAGTTGTAGGGTTTAGGGTTTAGGGCTTTGGGGATATGGGTTTAGGAGAACCATGGCCTGATGCTTCCAGAGGCCTAGCAAGTAGGTTTCTGGAACCTTTGAAGACACAATGGTAACTAGACCCGGGAGTAACCTAGGACCTAGGAATTAAAAGGGCGCCCTTTGTGGTTTTAAGGGGATGATATTGGAACCCCAACCCTAAAAAAAGGCAAAAAGGGCCTACTCCCGGTCCTAGGTTAGGTCCCTCAAAGAACAGGACAACAAACAAACGCTACAACCCTAACACGCTGCACTCTAAAACCCTAAACCCTAACACTCTAAACCCTAAAACTCTAACCCTAAAACTCTAAACCCTTCTCCTAAAGCCCTAAGACCCTAAACCCGAAACCCTGGGCCCCAATCCTGTTGCCCTTTTAGCTTCTCTGGGATGACATGGGTCATTCTCTAAATTAGGTTCCCTTTTTGGTGGGTCCTTCTCTTAAGGGTGCCGTACCCCAAAAGTGGCCCCAATTTTAGAGAACTGCTATGCATACAGGATTGGAGACCATTAACGGCTCTGAGGGATTCTTCGTGGCACAAATTCGGGCTTCAGGGTCCTTGAAATCCCCCCCTTAAACTCCAAACTTAAACACTAAACCCCTAAACCCCTAAACCCCCAAACCCCTAAACCCCTAAACCCCGAAACCCCGAAACCCCTAAACCCCTAAACCCCTAAACCCCTAAAACCCCAAAACCCCTAAGCCCCTCAACCCCTCAACCCCTAAACCCCAAAACCCCTAAACCCCTAAACCCCTAAAGCCCTAAAGCCCTAAACCCCTAAACCCCTAAACTCTAAACCCCTAAACCCCTAAACCCCTAAACCCCTAAACCCCTAAACCCCTAAACCCCTAAACCCTAAACCCTAACCCCTAAACCCCTAAACCCCTAAACCCCTAAACCCCTAAACCCTAAACCCTAAACCCTAAACCCTAAACACTAAACCCAACTCGCGGCCCGCGCGGCGCTCTTTGTCACTGCACCCTCCGCAGGCTCCGCGGGCTGAGCGGTGCCGTCCTGGCAGGGTTTAGGGTTTAGGATTTTAGGGATTGGGGCTTAGGGTTTAGGGTTTAGGGTTTAGGGTTTGGGGTTTAGGGTTTAGGGTTTCGTTAGGGGCGTTGGGGCTCCGGGGCTTTAGGGCTTCAACGGTACGAGTCGCAGAAAGCGGGTCTTTGGAAGTGCGAGGGTTAAGGTTTGGGGTGTTAGGAACTCAAGGTTGGGATGTTGCCCCTTATGCTCACAGTCCCTAATAGGGATTATAATAGGGGCTACTAGAATCCCTTATAGGACTATGAGGGGGAACGTCCCAATTACCAGGGCATACGGCACGCCTGAGACCCCCAAAGCCCTATAAACCCTAAAGACTTTCAACGCTAGGCCACAGCTTCAGCGAACTTGAAGGCTAAAAGTGGCGGTGCTACTGCATTCAGTGTACTTTGCAAAGAAACCGCTAGGCTTTCGGGGTAGGACGCAACAGGAAACAGTACACAAAACTACAAGCGGCGTGCCGAAGAGTTTAGGGTCTATAGCTCGAAGCCGCAAACCCCACAAACCCCATCACACCCCCCCTCCCCCGGCCCCCAAAGACAAAAACTAAACCTACATCCTAAACTCTACAGTAAACCCTAAACCCCGAAACCCCGAAACCCAAAACCTAAAAACCCTACACCCTAAACCCTAAACCCTAAACCCTAAACCCTAAACCCCTAACCCCTCCCCCCCGTGAATTTCCTCCGGGGGCATCTCCAGGAAGTGCACCTGAACTTTAACAGCCGGTCAAGTCGTCCCAAGGTTTAGGGTTTAGGGTTTAGGTTTAGGGTTTAGGGTTTAGGGTTTAGGGTTTAGGGTTTAGGGTTTAGGGTTTAGGGTTTAGGGTTTAGGGTTTAGGGTTTAGGGTTTAGGGGTTAGGGTTTGGGGGCCTTAAAAATTAGAATTGGGGGCTTATGACAAAAACAACTGTAAAGGGACCATACGGGAATACTATTAATTCTTCCGACCCCTACAGTAGACTCAGTGGACGGCTTGGGGCTTCGGGCTTAGGGTTCTGCGTTTGGGGTTTAGGGTTTAGGGTTCAGGGGTTCTGGGATTCACAGGGCTCAGGGCTTATTTTAGACCAAGAGGAAGCTAGGAATAAAAAGGGCACCCTTTTTGGTTTAATATTGGTTTATAAGGGAACCCAAACAATTGAAAACCAAACCCTGAAAAAAAGGGAAACAGGGCCCACTCTGGGGCTTACGGCTCAGGTTTAGGGATTCGGATTTAGGGTGCAGGGCCTAGATGTGAGATTCGAGAGATTCAAGTGAGGGTCTCACAGTCCGGTTTTCGTGGTTTGATGGTTCCTAAGAACCCTAAACCCCAAAACCCCAATATGCCCTAAGCCCGAAATGCCAAATCCGTAAACCCTATATAAAGCCAAACCCCTATATAACCCTAAACCCCGAACTCCTTGGACTCTTTGGACAAGAGCCCTGAGACCAACGCTTAAAGTTCCAGCACTGCCTCGGGTTTAGGTACTTGTTGCTAGGCCTGAAACCACCCTACCTCCAACCCAATTTGAACCCTATTGGGGTACTTAAGGGGCATATAAGTGGGTTGTAACTACACTTATAGTTGGGTTCTAAGTAGCCTAAACCCTAAACCCTAAACCCTAAACCCTAAACCCTAAACCCTAAACCCTAAACCCTAAACCCTAAACCCTAAACCCTAAACCCTAAACCCTAAACCCTAAACCCTAAACCCTAAACCCTAGGCTGGGACAAGGCACCATGCGCTCGATGCCACTGAAAGAGAAGAAGATCAGCTGCTGCTGGAGTTGGTCCTGAAAGGGGTCCATGTACCTTTGAAGTGTATCCCTAATTCCTAAACCCTAAACCCTAAACCCTAAACCCTACTAACCCTACATACTTGGGTCCCGCAGCCTCAGACCCGGTGAATCCTTAGAGAAACGCTTACGGCTTACCGACCAGGCAACAGGAGGGCACGCGGCTCCAGCGCAGCTCACTTTGTTTGGTGGCTAGCTTTCAGGCTTCCAGTTTAATAAGGATCTAGGGTGTAGGGTTTAGAGTTTAGGGTTTCGGGATTTAGGGTTTAGGGGAGGGGGGGGGGATGGTTAAAGCTTGTTCTCGCAATGTCGGAACACTGAGTAGCTCTTCACTGCTTCGAATGAACTCTTTCGCGCCACGGCTGCACACCTCCACTCCTGTGTACACTCCCTTCAGGGCCTGGGATTTCAGAAGCTTAGGATTCAAGCTCGACCCCAAACCCTAAACCCTAAACCTTAAACCCTACACGAGCTCAGCCATGTTTCAGCACAAGCTGTTTCCTGGGTCACTCAGGTGAGGGGGGGCTACCCTAAACTGGCAACAAACATGGGCATACAACAACCTGATTGAAATGCCAAAACAATGAAGGGGGAAGTCCCCCCCACATCAAACAGAAGTGAGAACAGAGAAAGAAGCTTTGCAGCAACATGATTTCAGAGCCGCGATAGCTCAGTTGGGAGAGCGTCAGACTGAAGACCTGAAGGTCCCCGGCTCGATCCCGGATCTCTGCATGCTGGAACCCTAAACCCTAAACCCTTTTCCAGCTTTGAGGTGTAGACCCTAAACCCTAAACCCGAAACCCTAAACCCGAAACCCTAAACCCTAAACCCCAAACCCTAAACCCTAAACCCCAAACCCTAAACCCTGAACCCTAAACCCAACCCCAAACACCTGGAGCCACCAGCCAGTGTGCAATTCAACTCTTTCGGCTGGCCCTTAACCAAGAAGTGTTGGGATGTTCCCCCCTACACTAACAGTCCTTAATCTTAGTTGCTGAGTTCATAATTCCCAAAAAATTGTACACTTTCAGTTCTATAGGGGATTATAGTATCCCAAAAAGTGTAAAGTGTGCTCTCTCAGCTACTTGGTACTAGGGATTTTAATAGGGGGGGGGGGGGGGTACGATCATCCCAAGTAAGGGCTGTTAGTATAAGGGGGAGCATCTCCAAAGAAGGCTTTTAAGGAAACCCTTGAACCAAAAAACCTTTGGACATCTAGCTGAGCATGGTTCCCTTGCACTCAACAGTACGGGAGAAGACAAAAGATCACAATAAACCCTAAACCCTAAAACCTAAACCCTAAACTCTAAACCCTAAACCCTAAGCCACTACCTGCTGTTAAAGCCCTGAGAACCCCAATGCGACCTTGGTGGCTTACAAAGAAGGGCTTGCGCTTAGACAAGAAAACCTAAACCATAAACCCTAAACCCTTATATAACCCTTCAAAGAGGGAGGAAGAAGAAACATCCCAGCTCTACCTCTCAAGTTGTGACAGTGTTTGGGCGCTCGGAGGCATAATATAGGGGTCGGAATAATTACTAATAGTATTCCTTTTCATGGCTCCTTTGTAATTACACGATAACAACCCCCCCCAAAAAAAAAAAAAAAAAAAACCTACTGTAATGTTTCGGGCCCCTGCCTTACTTCACCGAAGCTTCTTTTGCAAGCCGGCACAGCGGACAGCAAGCCTCTGAAGTCCCAG